AGAAAAGGAAGAAATTTATACTGAGATCATTAGAGTTTTAATGGGAAAACAAGATAATCTTTCAAGGTTAGGACTGTAGAGTTTAAAACAGGCCCTGAGTTCATATCCCAGCTGGTTCTTTCCTTGCTGCCTCACCCATGCCATGTCTGTTACCCCTGGAGTCTCTTTTTGATCACTTACGCTTTTTCTTACTAAGTCTGCACAGCAGCCCAGTTTGGGGACTTTCTTAATCCTGCACCTAGGAAGCAGCTCATACCTCTTATCAGTTTTGGGGATGTACGTGGTGTGATAATAGAACAAGTACTGAAGTAAGAAAGGAAAGATGGCAAATTGTAGCTGCTTCAGCAACTTAAAGGTGCATATTCCTTTTTCTACCAAGCATTATCATGCTTTGATGAATTATACCCTGCATACCTGGCTATTCATAACTCATTATTCATGGTCAGCCTGAAGGCCTTATTCAAAAAGCAGCTCTTTCCACACCTGTATCATGGTCTGATCTGAATAAATGCACTAGACATGGTAAGTCCCACCAAAGGATAACCTTGCCATGGTTGTTTTTAGCAAAATAAAGCACCAGGAATGCCTACATTCTATTGGCTCTGACTGACCTCAACTTTGTCTTGTGTATTTTAGGCTTTAAAGGAGATAGACGAAGTTGGAGACCTATTGCAGCTGAAGTATTCCCGTCATCGGTTGGTACCTCTACTGGACAGGCCCTTTGACGAGACTACATATGAAGAAACAGAAGACTGAGCCTTTTTGGTGCTCCCATAGAGGGACTCTCCCTCACCTAGGACAGTGTGTGGCCTTTCTGAGCCAGTTCTAGGAACCACACTTCTGGGGCCATCTCATGTGAAAGACATTTCCTCAACTACTGAAGGTGGCCACCGCCACTCTAAATGGCATTTTGTAAATAGTAAAAAACTGCTTCACATCCTTCTTTTGCGAAATCTCACCTTTAAAAATGGAGGTGACTCACTTTGCTTTTTTGTCCATTAAAAAAATGTTTTATTTTATAACTACTCTACTTGTGAAATCACGCTCACTCACCCTAGCCTGTTTCTGGCTGACCACCCAGGCCATTCCCTCTCCCAGCCACCTCGCAGACTTGGACCCCGCAAGAGCTGCTGCCAGCCTGGCTCCACAGTTGCGAGACTCCCCGGCCCTCCTCCCTTGGGAGCAAGTGCCTTCCACTCACTTCCCATCCAGGTCTCAGAGGTTGCCAACCTTGGAATCCTCATTTAACCAGTCAAGTAATCAACCAAAGTTGTCTCCCTTTAATCTTAAGTTTAGCCTTTTAAGAAAAACAGTAAATGATAACATTGCTGAAAGGCTCATTGTGTAACTCCCTCTGGCCAGGGGCCTCCCAAGGCTTTGGTCTTACTCCTTTCTGTTCTGGTCTCCAGATGATTTCTTCCTTCACCATCAAATATTTCTTCATAATGGTCACAGTCTGAGAGTATGGTCCAAATTCTGGGTTCTTCCCAAGCTCTAACGCTAACACATCCCATCCCCTATTTAAAACACTTACTGTTTTAAAAGCACCCGCATCCCTCCCTGGTTAGTCCTCTGTGGTGAAGCTGACTCTTACGTCTCGCTGTTTTGAGTACAGAGTTGCTCTGTAGAGTGATGTGCACTCCTGGTGGGTGAGGGTAAGGGGCAGTGTGGAAAGAATTGATTACTACTTGCAGAGAGTCTGTGGCTTAGGTTTCTTACTCTTTCTGCTTTTCAAAATTATGACAGCCTCTGCCTGGCTGTGGGTCCAGATTAGGATTTAAACTGATAAAGCAAAATGACAGTAAATCCTCTGCTCAGAAATCATTTATCATGTTCCTATTTAGGATTAGAGTTATTAGCCCTTTTAGAAGCTGACCCACTTAAATATTATTATTCTGAACGCTAGTTCTCTTTTATTCTTGATGTCCTAAAACAATTTTAATCTGGCATCTGGGGCTAGAGTCTCCCTGTCTTTCCATTATACATTGTTTCGTCTTTTATGAGAAATTCTGAACACAGATCTCTCTCCTAAACTGGGATCCCTCTATTTTGACTTTGTTTTCATGCTATAACCAGGTAAGGAGAGCTTTATACTGCTTGACCAAAGAACAATCTGAAAATCACCATTTTAAAGTTATCATTTTTTCTGTTGAACCAAAGTTTAAGTGAAGAGAAGTTTTGGCTTTATTATTATACCCAAGATCAGCCTGTCTTTTAGTAGCCATCAAGTATTATTATAGGGGAAGGATTGAGACTAGAATGGAAAAACAATGTGTGAAACTCCTTTTACACATCTCTATTTTTGAAATTGCTCCATTTATTGGTAAAGATTCTGAATCCAAATTCTCCTGGGCATCTTGTCATCATCTGTGGTATGTTTGTGCAAATACATGTAGAGGAAGTAAGCAATATTATTGTTTGTGAAGTTTTGTTTTCATGTCTTAAGTTATCTTTGGTCACTCTCAGCATCTGAGAGCATTAAGCCCTT